CACTTGAGCAGGTACAATTCCGAGGGCCGCGCGTCAGTTTCATTCAGCCTACATTTCCACACCGAACCACTCCCGAGTCGTCCCCACTCCAATCGCAACCATTCCGAGCCACATTCGTCCGACCTCTCCGCCTAGCTAGGATTCGCCCTATAATCACATCACTTTCATTGTATCGTCATTCTTTAGTTTCACAATCTCGTTATTCGTTATTACGACCACTCTAAAAGTTTATTCATAACACCAAAGCAGATCTCCACTTTGTTGGATAATCTTAGAGTTTGAAACTAACTAGGGGAGCTTAGATTACGGATGGTTGGGATAAAAATACCTAACCCTAAGGTTTGTGCCCCACAATGCACAACTCACTAGGCTCTACACACTTCGACACACCCCCATAGACTAAATGAGGGGTGCCAAGTACAAGCAAACACGTAAGGTCATAAGACCAGTCCAAGTCAAACAAAGCTCAGGGTAGATCAGAAAGTTACCACACACTCTGAGCACAAGCAAGTGGCCAGACAGCCAGTTCAAGAGTTCACAGACATACATAATAATGGCACAGACAAAGCAAGAGACAAGAACTAGACTAAAACACCCTAGGAACTATCTCAACAAGGCCTAACTGCACACAGCACAACCAGTGGTGGTCACAAGGCGGAAGGGCCTTGGTGAAGATGTCTGCAGTGTTGGCATCGGACGCCACGAAGTCCAAGCATGCATGTCCACGTCTCTGCAACTCTCGCAGAAGAAAGTACCTGACGTCAATGTGTTTCACTCTACTCTCCAGTCGAGGCTCTCGAGACATGAGAATCATGGCCTTGTTGTCAGCGAACAAGGTCGGTGCAGAGCTCGACCGCTCACCAAGGTCGGTGAGCAAGAAGGTCAACCAGCGCAGCTCCTGTGCAGCCATGGCTCTGGCGTAGATCTCGGCCTCAGCGTTAGACTGCGCAACAGACGAGGACCGAGTCAACCTCCACGATACAGCGCCAAAGCCCAGGCTAAAACAGGGTCCCCGAGTAGACCTCTGAGTCTCGATGTCGTCAGCGTAAGAGGAGTCGCAGTGACCGGTGAGCACAACTAACTGTGTCCCTCCAACCACAAACCCCATAACCTGATGTAGTCACTAGGTACTTCGCCACCCTCACAGCAGCCCTCCACTGAACAGGGCGGTCTCTCCCAGTTGCAACGAAGCGAGCAAGTACACTGAGGGGGAAGGCGAGGTCCGGGCGAGTACAAGTCATCAGGTACTTATATTAGGCAGCCCAGCCGCTCTACGTACGGACCACTGGGCTCAAAAGGCTCGTCGGGGAAATGGCCGGTGAGCCTGTGGTCAATAGCAAGAGGAGTAGGCTGTGCAGTGGAGAACTGAAGCCCGAACCACTGAAAGACCTGTTGCACCATTTGTGACTGAGTCAGAGTGATGGTGCGAGCGGCTCTGTCCCTAGCAAACTACAAGCCAAGGTAACGATGCAGTTCACCAAGGTTGGTGTACGTGCGTCTCTTCTGCAGTTCGAACTACACCTCAGCCAGAGCAACCCTGATTGCAGTTGCGAAGACCAGGTCGTCGACGTAGATAAGAACAAAGATAGGTGTGGACCCACGACGAACGAGCGATGGGTCATCAGTGGACGGTGCAAAGCCAAGGTCGGAGATTGTCGAACGAAGAGTGTCGTGCCACTCACGGGGTGCCTGGTGGGGTGCCAGGCTCCACTGGGTCTCAGGGGGGAAGGTGCAAGTGAAGCCAGGAGGACGGCACAGCCATATCTCCTCATGGAGGCGGCCCTGTAAGAAGGCAGTGGTAAAGTCGAGGGAGTGCAACTCGTAGTCTCTTTGTGCTGCAACGTAGAGTAGTATCCAAAGAGTTGTCATTTTTGGGGTAGGCACGAAGGTCTGAAAGAAGTCAACTCCCTCGCACTGACTGAAACCTCTAGCCACGTAGCGCACCTTGAAGACAGGGGACGGGTAGGAGGAGCAGCCACCACTTGGGTGGCGTAGTTAAGGCGGCGAGTAGTGGCGAAGTGAGTGACAGCGGCAGTAAGAGCCGAGACAGGCGACAAAGGGGCACGAGGGTCCGTAACAAGTGACGCGAGAACACGAGAGAGTACAGGACGGTACGTGCGGTAGTAGTCAGTGATATGGGTCAAGGAGGAAGCGGTGAGGGACGACTCAGGATGGGAAGGGAGAACAGACAGAGGAGGACGAGAATAATTGGAACAAAACAGAACAGTACGGAGTTTAGTGACTGGGGGTGAGGTTCGAGCACGAGGAGGATAGCGAGTAGCCCAAGTGTGAGGAGGAGGGGGAGGGGGGGACTCGAATTGAGGACGAGGAAAAACAACCGGAGACGAGTCACAAGGAGGAAACGTAGGACCGTAAATAGGGGGGAGACGGGGAGCGGTCGGGAGGAGGAGAAGGGAGACCAAGGGCCCGAAGGCCACTCACAGGGGGCAACAATTCCTGTAAGGGCGGGGGCTGCAGCAACGACTGCTGTTGTTGCTGCTGCTGCTGCTGCTGCTGCTCCAGCTGCTGCTAGCCTCCGTAGCTCCTGCTGCTGCCGCTCCAGCTCCAGCCTCTCCTGCGCCAACCTCTCCTGCTCCTCACGCTCAAGTCGAAGAAGAGCCTGGTGCCGGGTCGGGTAGCGATGGGGAGGCAAAGAAGGTACCGTAAAAGTAGTAGCACCAGCTCCGCCCTCCTCAGCTCAAGCAACCCCAGAACGAGCACCTCTAGCTCTAACATGACCAACTCCAGTACCCTCAACCCTTGTACCAGCACACTTGCACCCCCAGAAGTAAGACCTCCAGGGACAACACCCTCAACGCCAACACCCCCAGAACCTGTACCTCTGGTAGCAGCACCCTCAGCGCCAGCACCCCTAGAGCTAGCTTCTCCAAAGTCCGCACCTCCAACACCAACACCTCAAGAGTCTGCGGGAACCTGCGGCTAAAGCGCTGACGGCTGCTGCGGTGATTGCGAGGACGACTCTAGGGACGGGGACCGGACCTAACGTGGGACGTGCGACACACTAGACGGGGAAGGACTAGGGGGAGAGGGGGGGGGGGGGGGGTGTACCGGAGGAGCGGGGGCAAGGAGAAAGGGGTGGGAACCGGGAGGTCTCGACACGTGTACCGGGCGTAGTAGGAGACAGACTCGTCGAACTTGAGGTCATGAGAGTAGAGGAAACGGTGGAGGGGCGGGTGGTAAAATGTGTAGTCAGAGACGCCCTCCGAAAAACCAAGGAAGACACAGGGGAGGGCGCGGGACGAGAGCGTGTCCGCAGAGGTGTCGCGACAGCCCCAGACACGGAACTGCGACGCAACACCAGGGGAAGCCCCTGGCCGTGAGACACGAGGCCAAAGGTTCAGCTGATGAGCGGTGTAGCGAACCGCGTAGGGCCACAGAAAATGGGGCGCACGGGCATGGATCATGGAGGTGTGCACGATCTCCATGACCAAGCCTATGCGGCGCTCAGCAACCCCATTCTGCTGTGAGGACTCTAGAAGCGTCTAGAACTGGACTATGCCCTGCTTGCGACAGAATTCGGGAGAATCCCGGAACTCACCCCCACGGTCGGAGTGGAGACAACTAACATGACGGCCGAGTGCCCTCTGTGGCGAGCAACCACCGGATCAGCGTTGAAGTCACCTTGGACTTCTTCACCAGGGGGAACACGGTGGTGTAGCAAGAAGAAGCTCTCCCTCTCGGGTCCGGGGCGGGTGGCTGGGCCCCAGACGTCCATGTGGAGAGTCTCAAAGGGTGCAGTGGTCAGACGAAGGGAGGAGGAGTGAGGGCCGGCGTGCAGCCGGCCCTCGACATAAGGAGTGCACGGAGGCGCAGGCGAGGGAGGGAGCGAGGGGAAGACGTGCGGGAGACCTGAGACAAGACGCTGTCTAGCCGTGCTGGGAAGGCGCGGGAGAGACGGGTGACCAAGGCAATGGTGCCGTGGGACGGTGGGGTGGGCAAGGGACCGACACGAGCACGACCCAGCAACCTGACCAGACGCAGCTACCTTGCCGGACGAAGCTACCTGGGGAGGGGTGTTGTGCAGTGTGAAAAGGCTGGAGCCAGGCTCCTGGTGAAAAGTGGCCAGAGGGGCATACATGTCGCCGTCCACGCAGGTCCCGAAACTCTCTGGTGGAGGAAGGTGACCTCGCAAGGGTGCTTCAAGAGAAGCGCGTCATGCATAGAGGCTAGGTGGTAAGGGAGGCTAGTGGCGATAAAGTATATGGTGATCGCCATAGGAAGAGGGAGTACTGCAAGCTGAGCCTCAGTACAAGCAACACAAAAACTAGCGTCTAGTGATCAGATCAGCAGCAGGGTCGAACGAAGTGAGGTTAGGGAACAGGAATGGCAAGAACTGTCAGAGGTCCACTGGAGATCCCCGATGATCCTAGGGAAGGGTTACAGGCACATCGGCCTGGGGGGTTATGGGCGCACTTACCCGCCATACAAACAAGCCCTTTTATCCCAGTGGTTAGTGGCTGGGATTCTGACATTGTATCAGAGCAAAGGTCTCGGGTTCGAATCCCGGTGTGTGCACCTCGGGCATCCCAGTGCGGGGGGGTGTCAGAGGTCCACTGGAGATCCCCGATGATCCTAGGGAAGGGTTACAGGCACATCGGCCTGGGGGGTTATGGGCGCACTTACCCGCCATACAAACAAGCCCTTTTATCCCAGTGGTTAGTGGCTGGGATTCTGACAAGAACAGTCGACTGAGAGAGGCAGAGGAGGGAGTGGAGTAGCGGGCCTTAATCGCAGTCAGGAGGTTGCTAGCAGTGCGAAAGTGCATGAGAGGGCAGTGAAAAGGTGAGTGCATGAGAGGGCAGTGAAAAGGTGAGTGCATGAGAGGGCAGTGAAATGGTGAGTGCATGAGGGGGCAGTACTGATGGTGAGGGCATGAGAGGGCAGTGAAACGGTGAGTGCATGAGAGGGCAGTGAAATGGTGAGTGTATCGGGGGGGGGGGGGGTATTGAAATGGGTTTGTGCATGAGATGGCAGAGTGTTTAGGTGAACACATGAGATAACAGAGAGGATGGTTGAGGCATGAGATTGCAGAGAGGATGATGAGGGCATGAGATTGCAGAGAGGATGGTGAGGGCCTGAGATTGAAATGAGGATGGTGACCATATCACATAAGGCGGAGATGATGGTGACTGAACGAGATGGCAAGTGGGAGCGAGCGTTTATTCCAAGCCTTCAATCACACTCACATCCGCGTCGAACGTTGAATATTCCATCCCCACTGTTTTCCGTCACCCGACCACTTTGTACCAGTTTTCCTTGATCCATCGTTGTTGGACAGGTGTGCGTGTAACGTTTGGGGTCGACACGGCACACAAGTGATCCTGCACGGACGAGAGGGAGTCCGAATGCATACACAAATTATCCCAGACAAAGAAAAGGAATGCGATGTCGTTGTATCCTAGATTGAATAATTAAAATCACCCAACCGCCATGCCACATACCTTGTGGGCATAGCATATGCTGCACGGCCGATTGGTAGCACCCGATAGCGTGCAAGTGATTTTGCAGCTCTCGGGAAAATCGCAGACCCACGCATACAACATGGGTACCACATGGTGCTCGACGCCGTTCGGATCCTTCATCATGAAGCCACTACGTTGAACAGATACGAGTGCAGCGAGGATAATGAGGGCATGGGAGGGCAGCAGTTTGGTGAGAGCACTACTATGCCTCGTAGAATTTCCCAACGAGGACAACGACATCGACAACGGCATCGATAGCATTATAAGACTGGAAAGTCAGAGGCATTTGGTTGCATTGAAACGCATAGACTACCGTAGGGTTGAGTTTGCTAACATTACATCTTCAAGCTCTCAAGGATGGGCTGTAGCATGAGCTCCACGGCTTTGTGAAATAAATCCGTGCTCTGTGCGGAGCTCATGCCAGCCGGTGGTATGGGGAGATTCCCTAGGAGCACATGGCCAGAAGATGCCCAGCGTTTTCCTTGCAAGATGTTGACGAGGCTCATCATCACCGGATGTGTCTTTTTCCTGCCGTTGTTGCTAAGGTGTGTGACGTCAATGTACAAAATTATCCCAACAATAACTACGTCGGGACCAAGCTCAGCCTGACGTTGAAGGTAAACAGAACCAAAAGTAGGGATGCAAGTAACATAATAACAGTGGAGCAATGAGTACCAATAGGGTTTAGCATCTAACACTTCATCGACCCCTGTCCGCCCACTTCAGTCCCTCTCCTGGCAGCTGGTGTGAGAGACAAACATAGGGAGGGTAGGGGGGGATGGGCGTATAAGAGCACGGGTGGAGCAAGGAGGAGCATGGCGGTGAATCTCACACTCCTCTTCTCCTCTGTCCGCCCACCTCTGTCCCTCTCCTGGCAGCTGGTGTGAGAGACAAACATAGGGAGGGTAGGGGGGGATGGGCGTATAAGAGCACGGGTGGAGCAAGGAGGAGCATGGCGGTGAATCTCACACTCCTCTTCTCCTCTGTCCGCCCACCTCTGTCCCTCTCCTGGCAGTTGGTGTGAGAGACAAACATAGGGAGGGTGGGGGGGGATGGGCGTATAAGAGCACGGGTGGAGCAAGGAGGAGCATGGCGGTGAATCTCACACTCCTCTACTCCTCTGTCCACCCACCTCTGTCCCTCTCCTGGCAGTTGGTGTGAGAGACAAACATAGGGAGGGTGGGGGGGATGGGCGTATAAGAGCACGGGTGGAGCAAGGAGGAGCATGGCGGTGAATCTCACACTCCTCTTCTCCTCTGTCCGCCCACCTCTGTCCCTCTCCTGGCAGCTGGTGTGAGAGACAAACATAGGGAGGGTAGGGGGGGATGGGCGTATAAGAGCACGGGTGGAGCAAGGAGGAGCATGGCGGTGAATCTCACACTCCTCTTCTCCTCTGTCCGCCCACCTTTGTCCCTCTCCTGGCAGCTGGTGTGAGAGACAAACATAGGGAGGGTAGGGGGGGATGGGCGTATAAGAGCACGGGTGGAGCAAGGAGGAGCATGGCGGTGAATCTCACACTCCTCTTCTCCTATGTCCGCCCACCTCTGTCCCTCTCCTGGCAGCTGGTGTGAGAGAAAAAACATAGGGAGGGTGGGGGGGGATGGGAGACAAGCATAGAGATGGAGGGACAACTTGGAATGACTGGGTTTGCGACCAAGTTCTAATCTGATGACATGGCAGGACGATACACCAAACCGGGCTGATTTGCAATCTCACCTGCGCATCATGCCACCATGTCGCCGTCTCCTTTGTTGTGTACCTCCTCTCCTTGGATTCAGGGTCGTAGTCCATCCGCGGCTTCAGAACGAACCCCGGTGCATTGCGGGGATCACCAAACAGGTCGGCAAATGCCTGAGAGGTAGAAAGTAGAGGAGATTGATATTTGCATCAAATTGCTGCTTGCATCGAAAATATGGCTAGGTAAGGAAAAAGGCACCACACGGACCTCTAAGGAGTTGCGGAAGAACAGCGTCTGCGCCGGGAAGCCTGCGACCTTGAAGGTTACTGTGGAGTACCCACGGCCTAGACCCCGCAGCTGGTTCAGCTCGAATCGCTCGAGCTCCCGGCAGCTGGAGTACTCCTCGAGTACCTTCTGTGCAAGCTCCGGAACCATAAGAAGCTGCAGTAGGGCATTGATGTCAGTTTCTGCCGAACCGAGACAACTGTTGGCTTTCTGCACGAAATGCAGGTAGTGGAGGACTGCAGGATTGCCGGGCGGGGGCCTTCCGAAGCTCGTGGGGATGGAAGGCGGAGGAGCAGCATCATGATAACGACAGCCTGTTGCACCTTGGGATGACGTTGCAGTGTCTACGTGGAGCCTTGCTGGCATTTCAGGTTCAGGGAAGGAACATGATGAGTTGCTGCCAGCGGAGTTCTAACCCACATCAGGTTCGGGTACGTGGTCGTCATGAACGGCATGGACCGGCACATGCACCGCATCATTACGTGGTCGTCGGATGTTAGTTTGAGCTAACCCTGAAGTCGTCTCGGGGTTACCTCCATGTAGGTAACCCCGAGGTGCTACTCGGGCTATGGTTCAAAGTGAACCCATGCCCCATATGTGACCTACGGGGTCACCTACAGATCAGAGGCCAAGGTAAGCACGAACTGAACACAGTTCGCGTACACCCGACTCGCGCAGGTCGCTTCGATTGGTTCACGTGTCGGAATGTAACAGTGAATGTAACACTTCTATAAGTATAATAAGCAAATGTACCATCATATGCTTTTTATGTATAATAGCAGTATTTAGATCTATACATTTGCATGGCAACTACATAGTTTTTGCTTTGTTGACGTGTTTTATTTATTTTATGAAGCAGCAACGTTTTACCATTTCTCCTCATGTATTTGTGCATTTACACAGTCCCATATAAATGGAAACCCTAAACATACAATCATCTCTACACCAATTAAAATCACCCTATATTCTAAAACACAAAATTTCTAGTGTGTTCTTGATAGCTGCACCCTGCAAAAGGCATAACGATTAGTTGAAAAGACGACATATGTGAATGACAAAATACCCCACCTGCTGCAGCGAGATGTTGTACAGTACTCATTACAGGGTACCTACCTGCAAAAAAAAAAAAAGGACACAGGTGCAAACTAAACGAGATCGCTAAGCAAGACATATGCCTTTCAAGAGATGACACATGATAACACAAACATTGCTAGCACTAATGAATAGAACTGACGGAAAGACAATATCTAAAGGTCTAAACCGACTTACTGGTTCACGATGGCGGAAATCACGCATTGAAGAGCTTCGTCACGTGCCACTTTTCAGGTTGAAGTTAATCATGTAAACGGACACATGGGGGAACAAGCACAAAACAGGAAACGCAGCTGAAAGTATACGCCGGAAAACGATAGGAAAAAGCGACATACTGCCTGATGGCATCGCCAAAGGGTGGAAGTGCTGCCTCACGTGCCATGTTCGGGTTGGAAAATGATTTACTGAACACACAGAGGGGGGAACACGCACAAAACGCATACTCATATGAGAAATGAACGATGGGAATGATGACTCCGTGTGAGATGATAACACCAGAAGTCTATTAGCAAATCGGAAGAGGCAGCAGCATGACGAGCGCATTCAAGAAACGCACAGGGAGTTGTTACATAAGACACGTCTGACACAATATAACCAAGAAATGAGCAACGAGACCAGGGTTGTCGATTGGTTCCAGGCCAACACTTGAGAGTCTGAGGTCCCCGGATTTCAGCCCTGAAATTTCCGGAAAGTGGCCTTTTCTGACCCTTTAAGCGTCCTTGAAAGCCCTCAAATCAAAACTTGAATTCAGGGCTACACTTCAACATTCAGGGTGTATTCCCTCTATAACGTTAACTAATGCAGCCACAATCATTTTGAAACTACTATCTACTGTCAGAAATAACTGAGCAGGAATGGAATGAACTAGCACAGAGTTTGGTACAAGTAGGAAACCCTAACTTTGAGTACCCCCTAAGGTGTAACCCACTACAGCCTACATAATATAAACATGCAATGTTTGACATCTACCTACCTAATTTCTCAACAAAAAGATAAAAGTGGCAAGCTTGCGGAGAGGCGTGGCGGGGGGGAAGAGGTTCAATTGGTCAGCCAGCCAATAACATCTCTGACAAGTCATGCGAGTCTGACTTGGCGGCAAAAGGAACTATCTTCCTACACGACCCTGCTGGGATGAGATGGGTTGGGAAGGGAGAAGGAAAGGGGGGGGGGGGGGGGGTAGGAAGAGCTGTGGAAAGTTTCTGGGTAAGCCCCAAAACGTCCACGAGGAATTAGGAAAACCCCTCAAGTGCCCCCTGTAAGAATCAGGGGAATGCCCTGCCCACGCCCGTTAGAATTTAGGGTTGTACGAAAAATCAGCCCTGAGAATTTGGACCCTGGAGCAAAGTCAGACCTTAATATTCAGGGCATTAAGGCCATATGGCCTTGAATCGACAGCCCTGAACGAGACACTTCAAGGTGGAGCTGGGGGTGACAGGGGTATGGTTGGAACAGATGAGAAGGAGAGTGGGGGTGGGGACATGGCGGGTAGCGCAAGGGATGTGACGTGGCGAGCGGCGATTCCAATTTTTTTGCCATCCTGTATCAGCTGGCAGTCGACCCACGCAAGCAACCTGCTCAAACCTGCCTATGTGGGTACGTTATATGGACGAGAAGGAAGCGTGGGTTTTATTTTTTTATTACCAAACAGTACAGCGAGGTTGCAAGAAAATTTCAGTCACGACAGTGCTGTGCTAGACAATTTGCGTTGGTGGCAGACACTCTATTCTCATGACCCATTACAACATAAAACTATTCAGGTTTACTGTATCAATTAAAAAAGTAGTGTGGTTGGAATTTCGCGGCAGTAACCTCATTCACTGCTAGTTACCGTCGGCGATTTTCGTTTCGACGAGAAACGTTTTCGCCAGTTGTCGGTTGATAATTTGCAGTAGGAGGCAAGTGTGCGGTGTACTTCGCCGCCATGTAGTGACTTCGGGTCATTTTCTGGAAGAGTTCCAAGTGAAGGCGCATTCCTGGCTCGTGTCAGGAATGGTTGGTGTCAACTCAATACCAGGGAAGATTGCATGGAGGATTAGTCCTCCTGGTGTCAATTGTTGCGCGAGCGGCAATCTGAATTTTGCAAGTCGCTGATCACCTGAACCATCGCTGGCGAGTCGTTAACCAACCAAAGCCGTACACCAAAGTCAATGTGGGCTGGTGGTCGCAGGAAATTCGCACAATGTGGTCAACACGGACACCAGGCTGGCACCGCGCCTAAGCGCGGCTCCACCTGGTGTCAAGCGTAGTAGGCGCTTGATACCAACCATTCCTGACACGAGCCAAGAATGTGCCCTGAAAATGGTGCAGGTAGCCCCAAGGTAACCTGCGTTGGGGGTGAGTTGAGCCCCCCACAAATTTTGAGACACTCGCATTCGGGTCGGGGGTCGTGAGTAGCACGATATGTTCTTGCACGGCCGGCCCACCCTGATGCCATGCTGCGTACTTCACACGGCACCGTTTGTCCCAGGCCTTGTGCTGCCCAAATACCTGCGCACTACGGAAGCTAACCCTGCAGAAGATGCAACGGATCCAACCGTTGCAGTTCATGCGACCTAGGGTAAGTCGAAGTGGCCGCGAGACACATGTTCTCGTGAGAGTTCTCACGAGCACACGTGTCTCGCAGCCAACTGGATGGTGTGAAGGTTGTACACGGAGTTGATTCGAGCGATGTGTGAGATCCTTTAATTGTCGGAGATGCTACTGTATTCTAAGGCTGTGTGTTCTGTTTCTTACATAACTGAGGAGATAACTACCATTGAGTTGACGAGCAAGGATAATAACTGCTCAAACATGCGACTGAGACTGATATGGAAGTTGTCAATGCAGTATACGATCTTAGTTCCAGCGTCGCCCTACACATCAGGGAAAGAACGAGATGGTGATTGCAGATGACGCGGCAACACGACGCTCAAGGCGCCGACATGGCTTGAACTTACATTTTGAAATTCAAGTTTGAAATTTGAAGTCGCCCAGGTGAGCAAAGCTCCCAATATGCGAGATGGCGGCGCGTGAATGATAAATCCTCGATGCTGTGTCACCCAAAGTACGCAAATAAGAATGTTCTATTGGTAATTTACTTGTGTATAACGTAGTTATCTGTGTTGCAGGAGTTGGTGTAGTTGACGAGTACCTGGACTGTTCTTATTAAAAAAAAAAAAACCACACCACAAGTTTTACTAGTAATCCATCTGCGCTTTTAATAGTCGAGACCCGAGCCACACCGCAAAGATAACGACGCGATAGGTGGTCTAAAAGTAAGTTTGGCGGGAAATCATGGACCAATCGCGTCAAACTGGTGTCAGTTTCATCTCCCCCGAGCCTTCCACCAAGGCATTTAAGTGCAAAGGTGCAATGGCGATAGGTGTCTCGATGCATTGTAGTGAGCTCCTAATATCCCCTCGCTTACTGCAACACATCGCGATGCGGACACGCCATGATTTAGCCCCCATCGTCACGTAGCATCCAACTGCACTCCCCTTCCGCTCATAAACTAACAGTCCTCTACTGCACCCCTCACCAATCGCCCATCCTATCCACTCAGAATTCTATCATTGCTGCATTAGAATAGATGCTCATGCATTGTCGCTTTTCCGACCGCTACCTTGCCTCATACCATCATCCTCGCGCCTTGCTCCCCTACGCGTCGCGGGATCGCGCTCCGTTAGTCGTCGTCGGGCAGCCTTGCGGTGAGCACGCTACTCGTGTCGCGTTCCCGCATTCTCATTTGCTGAATTTCCGCTTTCACAAGTGCTGCGCTTGCGCTCTCTCCCGTGCTGCATTTCCGCTCTCTACCGTGATGTTTGGCCGATTTCGCCCACGCTCTGCGTGCGTACTCTCCAGTGATACATTTCCTCTCTTTTGTTAATGCATTTCCGCTCCCTCCAGTAATGCATTTCCGCTCTCTCCCGTGCTGCGCTTGCGCTGTCTCATGTGGTGCGCTTGCTCTCACCCTGAAAATCCACATGCCATCGACAATGTTCGCCCCAGGAGGGGGAACCTTGTCGACGTAGGTGCCTGTGGACTTCCAGGATGCCATCTCTGCGTCCATGGCTGTCTGCCACTGAGAGGAGTAGGGACCCTCTATCGCCTCTGCGTAAGAGCGCGGGGTCGGGATGTCTGGTGCATCCGGGTCTCCCTCAGGGGCAAGCAGCATGGCCACGAGATGAGGCGCAGCGGCCGCAAGACACTCAAGGTCCTCCTGTCTGTCCTCAAGGACGTCCGTGCCAAGAGCACACTCACCCCCGACGGACGGAGGACAGACAGACTCAGACTCAGCAACAAGACTAGCAGCGTAGTCGAGACGACAAGCAGCAGCAAAGTCAACAAGCTCAGCAACTAAGGCAGACGCAGCAGTAGACTCAAACGAAGGGTCAGTGACAACAGTGGCTAACAGACGCGTGACAGTAGGGTGAGCAGCACGAACCAGGTCAGTCGGCGGGTCCGGAAC